TAAACAACTGGGTGAGACTATAGATTTATATATACGTTTAAATCTTCATCAGATGATGTTTTTATTGATTTTAGAGAAAGGGAGAGAAACATCAATGTGAGAAGCAACATGATAGAGAAACAATACATACTTCACCTAGTTAAGTCAAATAAGTATGTTTTTTTTCAGTAAGATCATTGACAATTAAAACTTCAGTTTTCTGCCAAGACTGGTTTTGCTCAGTGGATAGAGCCTGCGGACTGAAAGGTCCCACGTTCGAATCCGGTCAAGGGCATGTACCTTGGTTGCGGGCACATCCCCAGCAGGGGAGGTACAAGAGGCAGCTGATCGATGATTCTATCTCATCGATGTTTCTAACTCTCTATCCCCCTCTCTTCCTCTCTGTAAAAAATCAATGACAGAGATTCAATAGGCAGGGGAAAACATGGATCTGAAGCACAAGAGGAAGGTCAAAGCTAAGGACAGAGATTTGAAATCAGTCACACAACAAAGTGACAGGACAGATAAGAGACTGAACATTTAAAGACAGACACTTATAAATAGCAGCAGAAAAACACATGAGGTAAATAATGAGCAGTTTCCTGAAAGGAGAAAAAGTATGTGAAATAAGAGCTTACAATTCCCTTAAATATCATTCTGGCCCATTATAAATCTTTTATACTTGGAAAAGTACAGGACACTTCAATATTTAAAGCCCCAAATATGTATGTAATAGGTTAACACTGATACAACAAGACAAGGCAAAGGAGGGTCAAACTGGGACTAACCTTATGCCACACCTACAGAGTACCCTATACCAAAACAAAATGGCAGACAATGCACCCAAAATTGAGTCCAAAGGCTGAAGACAAAACTAAAGCAAAATAATAATAGCTTTAAAAATAAGGTAAACTGGTTAAAATATAAAATATGCTTGGGAAGTGTACTCCTTTCAAAAACTGTGAAGTTAAATTCTTTACCAGGCTTAAAAACAAACTAGCTCCAATATTACTGTACTTGATTCAAGCTTTTTCACTGTTTAAAAACCTAAAATAGAAGTAATTACTAACTTATTCTTGTCTTTAGGGAAAGCACAATTTAGTAAATCAACTATTTTACTCATATTTATAACAATGTTGGCTCATTAAAAGGAAAAAAAAGCAATTAAAACGCAATTAAAAAACATCACAAGGCTCAAAATTAAAAATTTGCAAATTAGTACTGAAGAACACAATTATAAAATGGATGATGATTCATATATGTGAATTAAAATGATCTGAGTGTGGAAGGGGTAGAAAATAAGTGCCGCTTAGTACTGCTAAAGAAAAACTGTTTACAATACTTTATACATACCAAAAAAGTACAGTGCATGAAGATAAGACCACAACTTACGCTGGGGGACTGTAAAAGCAAAATGACAAGGAGGGGAATGTGGGAGGCAGGGAGGGAGGAAGACAGTCATCCAACAAAGAATACATTCATATAATGAATCGCTAGACAATTAAAAATAATGTTCTATGTGTGCTACAATGTGACGTGTAAAAATATCCAAGATTATTAAATCAGAAAACAGTGCTAGCAAAACTGTGCCCCCAAAAAAGTTACACATATGTACACACATGTATCTGGGTGAATGCACAAAAAATTTACAAGAAATCTGAGTGGTACCTTGAAAATTAGTAGGATTGAAGGAGACAAGAAATTTTCACTTACTTTTCTGTAGTGAAAATAAGCATAGATTATGTTTAGTCAAACATTAAAGAAAAACAAACAAACAGTATTTTGGGAAGATGGCCAGAGAAAGGATTGCTATCTATAAATCCATAACAATGCAGATTATAAAACCATTTAAAACGTTTCATCATGCTTAGAGTATGTTAAATGAAATGGTGATATTTTTAAAAAGTGCAACCACGTAACCAAAAATGAGCCACACAACTTTACTTGGAAAACCTTATGGAGTTCAGTAATATAAAGGAGAAATTAAGTCTCAAAGAAGCTATAATTTGCATGTATTTAGCTGAATCTTCCCATAATGTGACGATCCGTTTAGACTCAATGCCAGAACTGGGTCTTCAGAGCCAACAAATTGGGTTTATATTTACCCCTAGACTACTAATCTGCAGTACTATAAACTCTAAAACTTCTACTTTCATTACAAAACTATTTGTAGAACCTTATGAATAGATTTATTTATTTTGAATATACGCCTGCTTTAAAAGCTTAGAGCAGAGGCCAGTCCATTGTGTTTTCTGCTCAGCACCTAGAACACAGTAAATAGAGGTACTCAATATAATTTTTTTTGGAGGAAAAGTAGGAACATAAAGTGTATGTGAATGCAAAACTATGAGGAGTTATAAGTTCTAAAGTAAAAGAGGCAAAATTAAGATGTGAAAATTGGTTCCTCTCTGTTGGAAAAAAGTCACATGACTGCATACCCACAATTTCATTTTTACTTCCAGCAATGAAAGGAATAGTTACAGAATTGAACATCTAAAACTACTGTGGTACTAGGAAGGTAGCCCAACATCTACTTTGCAATTCATAGTAAGCAGGATATCACAGAATATTACTGAAAGATGCTACAGATTAGGACTGAAGTTTTGACACCAAGTCCTTTAGTTATGAGAAAAATGAGGAATGGAGAGAGAACACAGTTGCCTTAGGGAATAATGGCCAAATGAGCTGGGTTTCACTACTGAGGAAACCAATCTAAGAGTAGCATTTCTCAAACAAATTACATTGTCAAAATCATACTTTTGTAAAATATCATTTTTTAAAGTCTCTAAGAAAAATTATCAATATTTCAATATCTGAGCAATATTGATTATATGTTTCTAAACACTTTCATTTTCTATATTAGTTCAGAAACACTGGATAGCACTGACCTACAGTTTTGTTTTAATGTCAATCTGACCTAAAATCTTGCATTTGGATAGTCTGAATCTGAAAAAATTCAGTTTTGTCTACACAAAAATGAAGACAACCCAGACAATTAAAGTAGCAGAGACTTGTCATTAACTTGTTTTAATTTTGAAACATAAGTGATTTAAGTAAATTAAAATTCTTTTAAAATGTAAACGTTAGTTATTTAGGAGTCTCAACTGCTATCAACCTGAAAATTTTGCTTTATTTTGTCACTTATCTTAGAATAGGATATAGATACAAAAACTGTTTATGAAAATTTTCACTTAACCTACAAACCCCTGTATCTGTCCCTATTTCTCAAAATTCCCCCAAGTGATTAGTTGACTGCTAACTGCGTGAGCCAGGGAGATTCTCAATCCATAGTAAATTTAATTACCAAAGGAAGATTAAATGTTCATACATCTGGCCTATAAATTGACTACAATTGGGTACAATAGGATCTACACTATTGCGAGTATAATGTAATTTACAGGGTGTCTGGAACCAAATTTCCAGACTTAAGCCCACACTTTGCAATTTACAAGCTGTAGAATAACTTAAATCCCATATTCATCTGAAAAATGGGGATAACAGCAGCTAATTATTATTTAGGTTAAAGTGCATGTAAAGTGCTTAGAACACTGCCTGGCAGATAGTACTATATAAGCATTGTAGTTATTTAATTCTTACATACTATGCCTCAAATCCTTTGGTAGAATTTGGATTAGCAATTAAATTTATATTTCACATCCCTACAATGAATTAATATTCATCTGTTAAAGATTATTTTAATTCTATTATGAAAATATATTCATTTATAATATTATGTTGGAGAGGGAGGAAAACGTTAAAAAATCATAGTTTAACCTTATGTTTAGAAAAGATACTAATGAAGTTATGAAAAGTTGCACATTGCTGTAATACTTTAAGTGGCATTTGCAAGTGACTCGGATAGTTTGCCATAATTCCCCAATGGGGGAAAAAAAATTAAAATAGACTGATTCTACAATAGCAAATCAAATACTTTAAGTCAGAGCTTTTAAAAATTTGGAATTGTTCCTCCAATCCTGAAAACAGATGCTTCTTAAATGGACTGCATCTTAGAAGAGCATTCATATTTAATAGATATGCTAACTCCAATTCCACCAATTGACACCACCACCACCACTTTTACGCAAGCTCTTGAAGTGATCACAAACAACTACACATTACCAACAGGCAATAAATCACCTTAATCACTCAAGATTAAGCAGCAGATATTAGGTACAATAAATTGAGATTATAAACACATGACAGTATTTCTAGAACAGTGAATAAGAGTTGTAATATTGAGAGGACTCAGATTAGGTAGCCTGTGGTTCCCTTAAAACTGTTTTAAAAGTCTTTAATGAAGTCAATACTATTAATTTCATGTTTATTTTATAAAGGATTTTTGTCAAGCTTTTTCATTTTCAGTTAAAAATAAATTTTCTTCTCAACTAATGATTTTCATTCTACCTAGTTTGGCTTAAGTTGTCTAGTATAGCCATATTTCATTTCATGGGATATGAAATCTATTAATTATATATTATAGGCAACGTGTTTTCAAATTTGCTTTCAAATGATGCCTACAAAGAGTAGATCAAATTTTCAAGTTTACATAAAACCATACTACACCAACTTACCAATATATATCTTATTCCATTCTATCTAAACAGTAGCACTAACAAAATTCTTCATACATATGCCCCACCACCTGTACTTCCCTATAATACTTACAAAAGAACATCTCAATTCAGCAATCAAGTTTTACAACTACTATCCTACCAAACAAATGGTGCTGCAACAAGATCACAATTCTCAGGAGTTATAACATGTTAATAGTACATAATTTACCTAAGATGGAAGAACTGTGCCTTTTTCATAAAACACAGATGGCCACATTGATTTAATTTAATATATATGCTACCTATTCAATTTATTAAAAATAGTAATAAACATAATTGAACTAGTGCTCCAAACTTATGCTGTTCACGTAAAAGACACTACAGAAGACACAGTAGAGACTGGCTTGCAATAAGAATTACAAATTCCTTCTACAGAGATGGAGAAATAAAAGGACAAATCTAGTTGTCTAAAAGACAATTCACTGTACACATTTTATTTACAGTTTTGTACACTGTCTTAATATGAATGGGACCGCTTTTCTACTTGAGCCATTTTTTAACCAAAGCAAAAATAACCTAAGTAATACAAATTGTTAAAATACAGCATAAAGATACAAAACAGACATACTAATTCTAATTAGGAATGTAATTATGATGTTACATTTTTTATAATCCACAATTATGTTTAGGAAATCACACAAACATAGATCACTGATTTGAATGAAATGCATAAATTTGTAGCAAAGCTTTGTAGTTACAAAAAAACAAAAAATTACCAAAGAATGCCCAAAATTAATGTTTATTCCACCTTTGTGTCATATTCCTGGATCCTTCACCAATATTACATGAGGGGGAAAAACAAAAGCAAAACAAATGAAAAAGTGAAATCAGAATCACTAATGTCATCAAGTAGGGAAACAAATAAATTAAAATCTAGCAGCCACCAGCAAGAGTACAGCAAAGACAATGCTGTAAAAAGAAACAAAGAAAATTGCTAGAAAACTGTATGCATACTCTTTCAAACCAGCAAAATATGTTCCTGCATACAATGGAACATAAACAGAATTCTTTTCCTGTAAGGTGTAGAAATGCGAGTTCTTTTTTAACATTGTGGATGGGTAAAATATGTTTGTAATAATAATTCTTCTAAGCTATTACAGAGTGGGCCAGAAACACATTAATGGATTCTGGGGATGATGTGTACTGTAATTCTTTGATTGGGTAAGTGGACATTCTAGCCAAAAAAAAAAAAAAAAAAAAAAAAAAAAGATGAACACAGAAGTACAAGACAAAGGTGAATGAGACTTCTCTTATATCTTTGCAACATTTAGATGGAAATCAAATTTAAATGCAGTCCACTCTGCTTTTGAAGAGGCTTTGGTTCAGCTCCCAAATCTCGATTGCTTGACGCAGTCTCCTATGAGAATACTCAGAAGGTGTCTTCTTAAACAACAAACCTATTTTTAGTGGTGGAGCCGCTCTTAGTAGCTGTGTCTGCATGGGACTGATAACCAATCACTATCTTTGGAGGAAGTCCTAACCTTTCCTTGTATACCCTCCTATAAGAAAAAGAAAAGTGGCCATTAATTTTTATTCATGCACACATCAAATTAAATATTGTTATTTATTCTTTAAAAAAAAAAAAAAAAATTACCTACCCTAGAGAGTGAAAAAGGAAATTGCATACCCTTATCCTTTTAGCAAAATTCATTCTTCATTTTCACAATAATCTTGATTAATCTACTTAACCAATATTTGAGTCTACTATGTATCAGGTACTGTGATAATTATTAATAGATCAATAATAAGCACAAAAGGGACAGTCCCTGGGCATGGTATTTATAGTATTTAATTACTTACAAACAAATAATCACAAATACACATGATGAAGCTAACACAGTGTAATTAAAATAAAAAATAAAATTACATGAACATGTTTTTACATTTTCTGGTCTAAAGTGCTACAATTTTACATACAAAACATAGTAAATACTATATATTACTGCACAATTACATTTACTATACCTACTACATATTGCACAGACAAAAACTGAAGGCAATTTATGTTATCTTCTGGACGATCTAGAACACCCATGATTTCTGCCTTATATACTAACTCTATAATCTAACTCTCAGTAAGACGTGCCACTATTTTAAGAACAAAATGTGTTTTGTGCCAAAGAGAGTTAAGTATAGGGGCTGTGTTACTATATTAGGTGCTAATATCATCTGTGAAATTATAGAAATTTCCCCTTTAAAAGTTATAAGGTCAAAAGTATAATGACAAGAGAATGAAGTACATCTTGAAGGCTGAGGAACAAAAATAAAGCTGTGGCTACAACTAAAAGCGTAAGTGAGTAAAAGAGATAAAGGTGACAAGGAAAATAGATCTTTAAGGAAAAAAAATCAAAATTTCAAAAATAAGCACCAAAATTAAATTAAATACTCCAATATGACACTAAGACAGTTTTACTTTGTACTCCACTCTCCAGAAGATTTCAATACCTTCCCTTGCTGAAGATATCTGATAACAATTTTATGATAACTAAGTCATAACCATTATCATCAGATTTACATTATGACACAATACAACCCTTTCAATTATACTAAATCATTAAAAATGCCAGAAAACAGGAGCACTTAAACACACAACTGGGACAGGTTAAAAAATAAAAAATAAAAAACAAGAAGAAAAATTCTATCTGTAGAAAAGTCAAATTATAAAGATTTCAAATCTCTGACACAAATAAAAAATTTTCTGGGGAAAGAAATTCACATTTAATTTCTTTAACTTGTTTTCAAAGATATATAAAACTCCCACAATTAAGTTTTGATGCTGACAGGAAAATGATAAATATGACAAATCAACAATCATCTCCTCTCTTATAGAAACCTATAGAACAAAACCTGGAGCATGCCCATACCTTTTATTTAATTCAGAAGGATTCAGAGAATTAAAAAATCACAAAAGGCAAACCAAATATTTTATGACCCATGGCTAATACCTAATTTTAACACAAAGTTTAAAATCAAATCTTTCTAATTTAAATGTAGTAAGAAGAAAATCCTAGTTAACTGACTGATGTTTGAAAGAAAAAAAATGAAGACAGGCAATTTTTACAAAGAATAATATTAGGCGCTTTTCACCAAAAAAAGATTAAAGCTTAGACATGTGGGTTTTAAATATGGGCAAAACCAAGATAGTGTCACTTAAATTTCAATACAAACTCTATGTATAATGTACACACAAGCACAAAATATACGTATAATATCCACCAATTCTCATTGCATTATTATAAGGATTATACTCTTAGTACAATTTTAAAGTAGAAAAATTTATATCCTCATTGATAAATTAATATACTACATGCCAAAGTAGACAAAAGTTTTCATGAAAACAATACAAGGAAAATAATGATCTACAAATACAAGTATTTGTAAAGCTCCAAATAAAACTATCCTCTTTTTGATTATCTAAGTATTTTAAAAGAAATACACAAAGAGCAAAACTTACCCTATATGTGTAACAGCATCTCTGTTTTCACATTCAGTAGTCCATATTGCTATCTTATCACCCTTAGCTCTAACATTAACAACGGCTCCACATACATCATCACTGTAGTCATCAAAAGATTCTCCAATAAGGCACAGCAGCTTAAAAACAAAACCCAATCCCAATTACATCCAATTGATTCAAAATGGGTTATTCTACTGCAAATGTCTCATTATTTGTATACATACAAAAAAATAGGTTTAAATTGGAGTTGACTTTTTGAATGTCTACATTATATTTGTTTTAATGTTTTTATTTGTTCCTTTATTTCTTTGGTTAATATCAAGAACATTAATAGTCATTTTAAATTTCTCAGCAGTCTTAGCTGGTTTGGCTCAGTGGATAGTGACTGAGGACTGGAGGGTCCTGGGTTCAATTCCAGTCAAGGGTACATGCCTGGGTCACAGACTTGATCTCCAAAAGGGGGTGTCCGGGAGGCAGCCAATCAATGATTTTCTCTCATCATTGGTGCTTAAATTAATATTAATAAGATAACTTTTATAGGGGTCCTGATGGTATATAGGACCCCTATAAAAGTTATCTTATTAATATTAATTTACTGTGCTGCTTATTGTTTTTCATGAACACTTTATAATGTTTAATTGTAGTAAATAACATAAAAAATTAACCATTTCAGTCATTATTGTGTACAGTTCTGTGACATTAAATATATTCACACACGCGGTGCAACCATTAATACCATCTATTTCTAGAACTTTTGTCATCTTGCAAACTAAAACAACTTTTCAATATAGAAATCTAAAATGGTATTTACTGATAATCTCTCCCTTCTTTTAAAAAAACAAAACAGACAAATAAAACAAAAGAAAAAATTCCCTCACTGGTCTGGCTAACTGGTCAGAGATGGGCCCCTGAACTGAAAGGGGGCATGGGGGACCCCATACCTCAGTTGCAAACTCCATCCATCCTGGCCCTGGTTGGGGAGCATGAAGGCAACCAATCAATGCGTCTCTATCACATCAATGTTTATGTCTCTACCCCTCCCCCCAGCCTGAACCCTTGCAATCCAGGACCACTGGCTCCTAATGACTCGCCTGACTGCCTACTTGGTCGGCCAAAACCACCTCTGCCTCATGCTCCTGCCACCACATCGTCATCTGGAAGGTCATTGGCTATCCAACCTAATTAGCATATCTTGCCTTTTATTATTATAGAATACTGTTTCACTTAAGTGCTAACTATAAACCAGACAATGTACCAAGTGCTAGAGATATAAGAAAGACTATGATTCCTTCTCCTAAAAATGTGGGGTTTAGAACCTCTCACTATAAATAATGTCTATTATCTCATCCTATCTAATAAAAAAGTAATATGCAAATTAACCATCACTCTGCTATACCCACAAGCCACACCCACCAGCCAATTAGGAGTGTGTATGCAAATTTGGCTGTGGCCATGGAGCTAGCAGAAGGCTTGGGTTTCCCTGGCAATGGAGGAAGCCAAGCTTTCCGCACACCCTGGAGAGCCCTGAACTCCACAAAGTTTCAACTACAGAAGATAAATAAATCCCAACAAAAATGGCTTTCCCCACTGAGCGAACAAGAGGCTTGGCTCCACTCAAGGTTACTAAGTTTCAATTAAAGAAGATAAATAAATCCCAGATCCCAGGGCCTCTGCTTGGGGGGTGGGGGTGGGTGTGTGTGCGTGCGTGGGGGGCAAGGGGGGTCAGGGCTGCAAACCACCACAGACCCCTCACCCAGGCTAGCCCACACCCCAAGGGAACCCCTACCCTGATCTGGGACATCCTTCAGGGCAAACCAGATGACCCCCACCTGTGCACCAGGCCTTATATCTAATAAAAGAATAATATGCAGATTGACCATCACTCTAACACACAAGATCAAGATAGCTGCCCCCATGTGGTCAAAGATCCAGCCCCCATGTGGACACAGGGGATGGCAGTTGGAGGGACCAGACCTGCAAGGGAGAGCAGTTGTGGGCAATCAGGCCAGTCGGGGAGGACAATTGGGAGGGACCAGGCCTGCAAGAGAGGGCAGCTGAGGGCGATCAAGCCTGCAAGGGAAGGAAGTTAGGGGTGACCAGGCAGCAGAGGAGGGAAGTTGGGGGCGACTGGGCCTTCAGGGAAGGGCAGTTGGGGAGGACCCAGGCCTGCAGGGGAGCAGTTAGGCATCAATCAGGCTGGCAGGGGAGTGGTTAGGGGGTTATCAGGCTGGCATGCAGAAGCAGTTAGGAGCAATCAGGAAGGCAGGCAGGCAAGCAGTTGGGAGCCAACAGTCCTGGATTGTGAGAGGAATGTCCAACAGCCCGGTAGGATTGGGCCTAAACAGGCAGTCAGACATCCCTCGAGGGATCCCAGATTTGAGAGTGCACGCTGGGGGACAAACACCCACATGCACAAATTTTGTGCACCGAGCCTCTAGTCCTATGTAATAAAAGGCTAATATGCAAATCAACCTAACAGCTAAATGACCAATGTCTATGACACACTGACTACCAGGAGCAGACGCTCAATGCAGCTGTCCCTGGTGGTCATAGCCCTCCCACAGGGGGAGCACCGCTTAGCCAGAAGCCCTGAGCCAGGCTCACAGCTGGCAAGCGCAGCAGTGGTGGCAGGAGCCTCTCCTGCCTCCACAGCAGCACTAAGGAGGGTTCCCGGGCTGCAAGAGAGCACAGGCTGGGCTGAGGGAGCCCTCCTGAGTGCATAAATTTTTGCACCGGGCCTCTAGTATTTCACATATATACTATAGGTCCGATGTACAAAATTCATGAAAGGGGTTCAGCCCTTGCAGTCCCAGCTACCACCACCCTCTGCAGGGCAATAGATCACAGAGCCTAACCCCCACCTCCCACTGATTGCCCTGCAGAGGGTGGTGGTGGCTAGCTGGGGCCTCGGGCCTAAGCCATCTGTCTTTAGCACTAGGAGAAGCTCCCGCCACCACCACTGCACTTGCCAGCTGTGAGCCCAGCTTCTGGCTGAGCAGTGCTCCTCCTGTGGGAGTGCACTAACCACCAGGGGGCAGGCAGCTCTTGTGTTGGACCCTTCAGTTGACTTGCATATTAACCTTTTATTATATAGGCTATATATATGAATATGAATATGAATATGAATATGAATATGAATGAAACCAACAATTACAGGTTATATTACAACAAACAAAACTGAATGATGAAACTACAATCTTATTGTTTGTCTCATTGATCTACAAAGTTTAGTATACAAAACAATACTCTGAGAGAGTTGTAAAGACTTACATTATACAAAATGTGAGGTCCTAGGATTTTGGAGTTGATGTAATCATCAGAATGAGTTTTTTGAGGAAGGTCAGATCAATTGCCAATCACCTGGTATTTGATTTGTAATGTGGTAGAAAGTTTCAATGTGCTAGTATGTAAAACATACAAACTCACATGATAGAACAAAATTAATTGCTGGCTTAGATTTTCTAGAGTAGGCATTCTTATATTCTCTTTAAGTAACTAATGTAAATTAGATGTAGTATTCCAAACTGTTTTATACTTTTAAAACCTTACTGTCTCTAGCCAAAAGCGATCGAGGTCACTTCGTCTCTGCTGTTTGTTCAACGTAATTAGCCATCGTCCTCCTCGTTTGTTTTTCTCATCTTCCCACATAGGTTTAATACCATCCTACAATGTTAGAAGACGACAATATTGTTACTTTAAGAGATCATTTCTAGAAACAGCAAGCAATATCCTGCCAACATTTAACCTGATTCCCCATGAATGATGTAGTGAAATAAAAGCATACAGGATTTAATGCCAGAGGCATGGGATTGCAGAATTGAGAATCTTGACTTAGGGATTTATTAGCTATTAAATCTTGTGTTTCATTTACCGTATTTTTCGGACCATAAGACGCTCCGGAGCATAAGATGCACCAGTTTTTAGAGAAGGGAAATGAAGAAAAAAAGATTCTGAAACAAATAGTGTCCTAAAATATTTTATGTGCATTAAAACCCAACATCACAGTCATAAACACATGTAATCAACTCTGTAAAGTAAACAGCAGCATTTAGAACCATTTTAGAGCCGGGCAAGTACACAGAGACCACACAGAGCCGGGCAAGTAAAAAAACTTTTTTTTTAAAGTATATGTGTAGGCTATATTTGGACCATAAGACGCAGGGACTTTTCCCCCCCACTTCTGGGGAGAAAAAAGTGCGTCTTATGGTCCGAAAAATATGGTAATTTGAAGGTTCCTAAACATTCTGAGTATTGTACCTTCTCAAAGGTACATACACTTCTCTATCTAGAAGATATAAGCAAAATTTATGTACAACTTATGCAATATCAGAGAATTAATGAATGTCATATCCTACCATCTGACAAAATCCATTTGTAAATATATCAGGACCCACATACCCCATGTTAAGAATTCCTGACACACAGGGATTTAAAGTACACCATAGGAAATCTAGCCAATAATTTTGTAATAACTACGTACAATGCCAGGTGGGTAGACCTAAAATTAATACTAAATAATACTGAATGTAAATTATAATTGAAAAAAAAAATTCTGACAAAGTTTGGACTTCAATCTACTCAAGTATATAAAAAGATTGAATTGGATGATCAAAGCTCTCTTTGAAATCAATCACAGAATGTGCCCACAAAGAGTGTTCTTAATTTCAATTATTTATATTAAAACAGGACACAATATATTTATGCTAAGCCTAGTAAAGCTATTTAATTTTTCTCCAAGCATCAGATCATTTCCTATTCCTAAGTTTGTGGCAAGATTTCTTAATGAATATCTGAATGGTCCAGTCTTGTAATATACATATAAATGAAATCATCAATGAAGCATCATACCTTGAAGAGTGAGTAGTCACAGCCAGGCATTAAATTACTAGATAACTGGATATGGTTGTACAGACTAGGTAAAAGAAAGACAGTTATAAACAAACAATAGTAATGTAAAGCATAGATGCTTATGTAACATTTAGAAAATATGATTAAAAAAATCAAAAGTTTGTGTTCACTTGTTTTTCTATAGATTCAATTTCTGAAATGCACCAAACAGATCTTAATAATGGTCAGTTCAAGACTCAATATACGATTATTTAAGAAAATATTTTTAATTTTATTCTGACTATGTTTTGATGCATACATATGTGTGTATATATAGCAAACTGAGAATAGAGGTATGAGGTGCCTTTAAGTAAATGAAAAAAATTGAGGCTAATGAGCAATTTTAAATATACAAATCAAGAGAAAGCAAGATGAACTTCTTGACAATCAGCATTGTATGACTGAAATAAACCACCATCATCATTCTTAAAGGTATCCAAGAGTAGGACGGACCAGTGGCCACGAAGCACCACAGACTGTTACTAGTCAGTGAGCACATAATCATTTGGAGAGCTTTAAAACACAAATAAGACACCAGTTCCAAGCCCTATTCCTTGGGATTTTAACTTGGGATTTTATCTTAATGATGGATGAGAAACCTGGAATCTATATTTCTAAACTATTCCCCAAATATCAATGAAAGAGAATAATATTTGGGGTGACTTAAATATCCACTAGTCTGAAGGTAAAAGGCTAAAGAGGAAAACAGTTATAAAATATGAAACAGAGTAAAAATGTAGAAATCATGATAGACCATGGACGATATAACTGACCCATTCTCTTGTGTATTTTAACCCAGCCTATGAGTATTTTAAACAGTTTTGAGGAAGACTAGCATCCTTTGGATCACATTCCACAGAGTAACATGCAAACCCAATTTGGGTGAAACAATGTAAGACCAAGTAATAAGGTTTCTTGAGTTGTTGAGCCTAATGAATTAATCGTTCCAAACCCTCAAACAATTCTGTTTTAACCTTTCTTATATATAGTACATGTATATTATACTCTATAAACACTTTTTAAAAGGACATAAAATGTAAATGAAAATTTAACAATTATAAGTATCAACAAAAGGAAAAAAATATTCACAGCACAATATTCTGAGATCTTAACAGTGGTATGCAGACTCAGATTCGTGTATTCTTTCCTTTGTCACCTGAGAGATGAGTGACTGATTATACTGCTATCAGCATAAACAGGTTGTCAGGTTGAGAAGCAATCTGTTCAAGATGGGAGACATTCTAGAAACTAGATTCCACCGTATTTTATTTGAAGTATGCACAGGTTTATGACCCCCAATCTTAACTTTTGCTAAATCTAAAACAAAATCTCAAAAAAAATCTTCAACTATTTTTGGAAGTTAGCACATTTATAAATAATCTTCACAGATACTGTCATTCTTTGACAAATCCTGAGTATTTAGCAATTTAGCCTTTGAAATCTAAGAATTCTTTTTATTGATTGATTTTTTAGAAGGGGGGAGATTTGTTGTTCCACTTTATTTTTTTATTTTTATTTATTTTTTTATTTATTTTTGGAGGAGGGGGTATGCCCTTGACCGGAATTGAACCCAGGACCCTTTGGTCTGCAGGCTGATTCTCTATCTACTGAGCCAAACCAGCTAGGGCTTGTTCCATTTATTTATGCACTCATTGGTTGCTTCTTGTATGTGCCCTGACTGGAACTGAATTTGCAACCTTAGCATATGAAGATGACATTCTAACCAACTGAGCTACCCGGCCAGGGCCTCATAATTCTTATAACAAGAAATCACAGATGTTACAATCAAATAATTTACAGAAATGAAGATCTAATAACAAAGCGCTGGAATACCCAAGTATGGGGCATATGTATCCAGGCATCCAGAAAGGGGACAAGTTCCAACAAGTTGTCAGAAGTTCTAGGAGTAGTAAAGCAAAGGATCTCTCAAAACAAATAATAAAAAACATGGAAGTGTAAAAGATGACAAGACTGAAGCATTCTAAAACTGATAAGGAATAATCACCAATTCAAACAGTTATGAGGAGATAGACAAACAAAAAGGTAGTGGTATAAATGAATATTTATTAACTTTTCACTTTAACCTTCATTTTGTAAATGTGACTTAAAATTATATACTAATAAAACAACAAACATCCTAAAATGAATGGGTTACTTACGCCCAAAAGTCTTCAACAGTATCAAACTCAGAGATCAGTCGAAGGTTTGCTTGCCAAGTTTTGCTTTTATCATTTTTAAAAAACCAGAGTGCCCATCTAAAAATAAAAAGTCAGTGTCAAAAATGGCAGTTTTACATCCTTGTTCATCGCACCATTATTCACAATAGCCAAAAAAGGGAAGCATTACAAGTGTCCATTGATATATGAATAAACAAAATGTGGTAAAAGCATACAATGCAGTATTAATCAGTCTTAAAAAGAAAAGAAAAATTCTGACACTTGTTACAACATTGATGAATCATGAGGACAATAAGATAATTTAAAAAATCACAAATACTGTATGATTCCATTTTTACGAGATACCTAGATTAGTCAAACTCTGAGACAGAAAGAATGGAGGTTGCCAGGGGCTAAGGAAAGAAAAGGGGGAATTGTTGTTTAATGGTGTAAAGTTTTAGTTCTGCAAGATAAAAAATGTTCCTGAGACTAGTTGCACAAAAATGTGGATGCACTTAACACTATTGAACAGTACATTTAAAAGATGGTAAATTTTATGTTATGTGTATTTTACAAAATTATTAATAAATAAATAAATATAAAGGGTAATTATTACAGTGGTAAAGTAGTAGCTCTTTCTCTCTTTTTTTTCGTTTAAAAGGTTATGTATTTTGTGCCCAATACATACCACATTCTATACCGACTCACTGAAGCTCATCTGAGGTGAATTCACAGAAATTTAGTAAAGTATTACAGTATGCTAAGTGCTATGCTAATCAAACATAGTTATTTAAGAAAAACAGAGCAGAAGCATTTAACTTGAAAGGAAACCAGGAAACAGAAAGTGGAGCTTTCAAAGAAACAAGAGTATAAACTCAAACACACAAATGGGAAAATAACAACATAAGGGACTTATTGAATAAAATGCTACCGCAGTATGTTCTGCAATAATGTATATCAACTTCTATATATGTTTATACTTCCCTTAAAAGGATTTACTCTAATACTTTGAAGATAAACTCATGTTACAACAAAGTTAGACTTAAATGTTATCATCTTCATCTTTAGAATTATATACACCAAATTGTTATACCAAAGGTAATTCAGAGAAACTTTATTTTCTCATTGATAAAAATGTTGTCTGAAGACAGGGTTTCCAAATGGACATATTTCATCAATTCTTTGACTAAAGCTTGATAATCTCAAACATAAAAGAAATACGTTATGATCTACTTGATAAGTTTGCATTTGCCAACACACTAACAAAAACATCAAAAGCAAAGGAAGAATATATTAAACACACATACAAGTTCAAGTACTACACTCTGGATTTCTAAAATTAATTTAGTCTTTCCTTACAATTTAAAAACAGCTGGGCCAGCGTGGCTCAGTGGTTGAGCGTCGACCTATGAACCAAGGAGTTCTGGGTTCGATTCCAGTTAGGGCACATGCCCCGGTTGCGGGATAGATCCACAGTGTGGGGGCGTGCCAGGAGGCTGCCTATCAATGATTTTCTCTCATCATTGATGTTTCTCTCTCTCCCTCTCCCTTCCTCTCTGAAATCAAAAAAATATATTTTAAAAAGAAAAAAGAAATTAAAAATAGAACTACCATATGATCCAGAAATTATATTTCTGGATATTTATCTAAAAAGAAAATACTAACTCAAAAAGATATTTGCAACCCCATATTTACTGCAGCATTATTTACAACAGAGAACATATGCAAACAACCTACTGTCTATCGATGGATAAAGAAAATGATACCCTTACACTTACACACACACACACACACACACACACACACACACACACACATACACACACACACACACACACACAAAACTTGCCCAGGTGGACTCATGAACCAGGTCATGGTTCAATTCCTGGTCAGGGCACATACTCAGGTTATGGGCTTGATCCCCAGTAGAAGACGGACAATCAATAATTCTCATTTATGTTACTGTCCCTCCTTCTCCCTCCCTCTCTCTGAAATATACACTGAGTGGCCAGATTATGATGATCTCTGACTACATAATAATCTGGCCACTCAGTGTATATCTTATATAATAAAAGGGTTATATGCAAATTGTCCCCTTGACCAGGACCAGAAGTTCAACTAGCAGGCAGACCAGCCGGCCTTGACCCAAGCACAAATTCATACATTGGGCTTCAATATACATATTAGAGGGCCAGTGCATGAAATTCATGCATTGGGGGGGGGGGGGGGGGGAGGCTGATCAGGGGAAATTGTCGCCCCCATCACCCTGCTGCTACTGCCACTGCCACTGCTGGCCACTGCAGCCACCAAGGTGTTTTCATCAACACGGACTCCAGTCCCTTCACCATAAAAAAAATGACAACTTTCTTTAGGCATTTTCAAGGTGTCTCTTTCATAGGATATGACATTTCTTTATTTCCTTTTTTTTAAATCCTCACCTGAGGATATTTTTCCATTGATTTTTAGAGAGCGTGGAAGAGACAGGGAGAGAGAAACATCAATATGAGAGGGACACTTTGATTGGTTGCCTTGTGCATAAGCCCTAACCTGAGCCCCGACCAGGAAGGAGCCTGCAGCCTAAAGTAAAACTGTTAAATTAGATACAATCTGGCTAATATCGTATAGGACAAAACCATCACTTTTTTAATTAGTGTGTCTTCTAGACAGAAATTAGTTACATCTTTAAAAGCCTAAAATTTATTTTCATCTTCTCACTTTGCTGATCATTATATGTTATTTTCCAGGGCTGTAAAATGTCAAAATATATGGAACTTATTTATTTGTGAATAGTGTGTCAAAGTTATGTGTTTCATAGAAAAGGAAAGGATTATTCTGTGGGCCTATAATGCCCCAATTGAAAGGACTTGCTGTCAATGTTTTACTCTGGGCCTGTGCTGGGCCACGGCCTGTGCTCCCAAGCTGTTTGGTGGGGCTGCCCTGGCCTCCCAGGGCCGGTTGATGGTCCCGGGAGGCTGCAGGCTTGGTGCCTGTCCCAGGGAACCAGGCTGCTTGGCGCCACCCCACCCCCGGCCACTTGGCATCTACATATGCAAATTAACCAGCCATCTTTGTTGTGTTAATTTGCATACTCACTCTTGGGATTGGCTGGTGGGCATCGTGGAGGTACAATTTGCATCTTTCTCTCTTTTTAGTATAGCTATATACACTGAGTGGCCAGATTATTATGCGTCTAGAGATCATAATAATATGGCCACTCAGTGTATTTAAACTTATTTCTATATTAATTTATAAACAAATATATAAAATTTTACATTTTCTCAGAATAGAACTAAACAGACTGTCCAGTCTGTTTAAAACCACAAATGATCTATACAATATGAATTCTGAAACTTCAATGAGAGAAATGCAAATTTAAAACAGTAAGACATCATTTTCTCAAATCAAAATAAGACAAAACAGATTGCCAATAATTAAAAATTCATGGCTGGCAAGAATTTAGAAAACAAACTCTCAAACTGTTAAAAGTCTAAGCTAGTAAAAGAATAATTTGGCAGTATCTATAAAGGTTGTTAAAACAACCTTTAAAACCTTGGAAATCTAAAATTTTACCCTAAAGATATATCCATACAAGTACACAAAAATATATAAGAATGTGTACACTACAGCACTATTTGTAAATAGGAAAGATTTTGATATACTCATCAATGTAAACCTGATAAAAAATACACTATTTTATATTCACTTACAAGGCAGTAGTTTAAAATAATAATGCAAAATCTGCACATACAAACAAAAAAAATGTATGGTTACCTATATAAAAGTATACACGTGTGCACACTGGCAAGTTCTGAATACAAACTAAACTTAACACTGACCACTCCAGGGAGTAGAAAAAATAAAATAGGGAAAGGTTATCTGAGAAAAGTATTAAATTCATTTATATACTTATATACTGATTTAATCATCACAGTTATTAGAGGTTAATTTTTAAGAAAGCAAAATAAATTCTGAAATATTTATAAAAAGGATGAGCCTGGCTGGCACGGCTCAGTGGTTGAGCGTTGACCTATGAACCAGGAAGTCAGGGTTCAATTCCAGGTCAGAGCACATGCCGGAGGTTTCAGGTTTGATCCCCAGTGTGAGATGGGTAGGAGGCAGCCAATCAATGATACTTTCTCATCACTGATGTTTTTATCTCTCTCCCTCTCCCTCACATAAATATATTTTTAGAAAGACAGGCTTATGGACCTTTAAGGTAGAGTAAAAGGTGATGGGGACATCAAAGAAACAGATATTTAAATATCTTCAGAAGTCAATTCCAGTTTACTTTCCTCCAAATTCTTACAACATTTATATGCTGCCATTTTCTTCCCACCAACAACTCTGTGAAGTCATGTTAATTTTCAGTATACAAGTATAAGCCAGAAAGACAATTACTATACAGTGAACTACCACTCAACTACTCTACTGTAACTATGAAAATTTTAATTCATCTTAATTTCTCCTAACTTGTCTTAAATACAAACCCAACCACCTCCAGATTCCAAATATCCAAGCTCTCACTTTTATCCTTCAGTCAATTTCAAATTACCTATTCTTGCTCTCTACATTTTATATATTCTATTCAGTTATCAAACTACTACTACCTTTTCCATCATCTATACTCTATGAAAGTTTCCCCTATGTTAGTAACAACTACTTATTCTTTTCTTTTATTTAAAGATTTTTGTACTGATTTTTAGAGAAGAAAGGAGAGGGGGAAAGAAACATCAATCAGCTGCCTCAGGCATGCCCCCACTGAGGATCCAGCCTACAAAACAGAAATCCAACTGTCAATCTTCTGATGCACAGGATGAAGCCACACCAGCCAGCACAGCAAGGGCTTTTTTTTAAATATATATTTTATTCATTTTTACAGAGAGGAAGGGAAAGGAATAGAGAGCTAGAAACATCGATGAGAGAGAAACATTGACCAGCTGCCTCCTGCACACCCCCTACTGGGGATGTGCCCGCAACCAAGGCACATGCCCTTGACCGGAATCGAACCTGGGACCTTTCAGGCGGCAGACCAATGCTCTATATACTGAGCCAAACTGGTTTTGGCCAGTAAGGGCTTTTTTTTATCATTCAATCCAATGGTCATTTTGAGACATTTTTATATTTGTAATAATTTAAAGCCTCTATGTCTATGCCCTTCATGACACTCTTCACACACACACACATACAAAGAAAAAAAAACTCCCAAATGTGCTGATAGCAAAGTCTCTGTCCCGAGAAAAGTTCACTTCTTAAAAAATAACTTGTTTACTATTGTGGTCTCAATTACCACCATCAATTACAAACCAATCTCTCAATCAGCTCTGCTTTCTGAATTCAAAACTCATACTAAAAATGCTTATTAGACATGGGTCATCCAAGTGAAAATGGAATCCTCAAACTGTCATATCTAAAACTAGTGTCTCATCTAACCTTTCCCTCCAAACCTATCCTATGCACCATTTACTTACCTTGCTGCCTAAGTCAGAAAACTGTGTCAGAAAACTTACCTGTTCTGTAAAGGATGTTTAATATAGTGTTCTGGATTAGCAACCTCCTGGTTAGATTCTGTTTTCTCTTCTTCTGTAGGCGGAGGATTAGGAGTAGGGGTGGTTTCCTAGTGAAAAATAATAAAACAATATTTAAAATTTCTTAACACATCTAAGACAGCAATACTTTAAATAAACTTGAACCAATAGTGCCAATATTATCTTTTAAAGAAAATATTACAGAAACACTTCATAAAACATACCACAGACCAATCTCTAAGGAAAAAACTCAAAACCCTCCATTCTAGCATATCTTCATTAACAGAAAATGGTTTCTCAAATTAAAAAACGTAACAATAATACTATATTTGGTTATCTTCCACTTACACAGTTTAATATCAGAAAGATTGTTAGAGACCATACAACAAATCAACTAACTTTCTTAACATTACATTACATTAAACTACTATAAATGAAAGTGGGGAGGAAGGAAAATATAACTAAAGTGTGGAGAATATAACCATATGACAATAGAAAAGTTTTCAAAAAATTATCAAGCAATACTACACGTTATATTGTTATGACATGGAAACTTAAAAGTTCTGCAACTTCTGTCACTTCCAATTGGCTCTATGCAAAAAAAAAGCTGGACATTGGCTTGTACTTACATCATTTTCTATGTTAGACATAATTAATACTGTCATCTAATATCAGAAAAGAAAGGAGCCTGGACATAACAGGTGTTCTCCACATTGCTCCATGTAACACTTCATCCTATTACAAATTTGTGTCAACAAAACAGAGAGCCAAGGAAAGTCACTGGAAGCTAATACATAAAAAGGGGAGTAGAGGGGACACAGTTCAGCAAGCATTTGGTATCAGACTTAAACTGAAGTAGCAAAACAATATAGGTTCAGTGATAAAAGATTATGTAAATCAGAAATGCGTCATCTAAAAGATCTGTGCAGATAGGCAATAAGTACATATTTTACAAAATTCATTTTTCTTAACAAAGTGACCTGCCCAGGAACTAGTCTAAAAACACTTCATAGCAGGGACTGTCTTCATTTTGCTCACAATTGAAATGCCAATGATCAGTGCTACACCCAAGAACTTGATTAACTTATCCGAGTAAATTCTTTTTTTTTAATCCTCACCTGAGGATATGTTCCTTCATTGATTCTAGAGAGAAAGAGAGAGAGAAAGGGAGGGAGAGAGAGAAACATCGATTGGTTGCCTCCCATACACGCACCACCAGGGACCAAACCCACAACCTGTGTATGTGTCCTGACCAGAAATCAAACCCATGACCCTTCAATACTGGGGAACATTGCTCAACCAACTGAGCCAGGGCCCATCTGTTTTTTATCATCTATTCTTAGCCCCTCCCTCTCTGTTTGTTTGAATCTTTTGGCTTATCTTTGACTTCACCAATTCTACATTCTGCTGAGTTCAGTCTGTTACTCATTCAATAAGCTCGTAATTTCAGACAATATAGTTAGCAGTTCCATATCTATTTTTTTGGATAAAGAGTAGATTTTTTAAAATCCCCTCCCGACAATATGTTTATTTGATTTTAGAGAGGGAGAGAAACATCAATGTGAGGTTGTCTCACCTACGTACCCCAACTGGGGATTGAACTCCCAACCTAAACCTAAGTAGTATGTGCCCAGATAAGGAATTGAATCTGAAACCTTTTTGGTCCACAGGACAATGCTCCAATTGAGCCATCCAGACAAGCTTTACTTAAATGTTTTTAATAAATTTTAAGTCCCTTTTAAAACACTTTTTTAACCCCTTTCCCACATCTCCTATTTCATCATAGTACCGTGTTTCCCGGAAAATAAGACATCCTCCGAAAATAAGACCTAGAGCATGGAAAGATAAGACATCCCATGAAAATAAGACCTAGCACAACTTTGGGAGAAAAAATTAATATAAGACACCATCTTATTTTCGGGGAAACGGTAATCATAGTTTTAAGTATTTGCTAAATCCATTATCTGAATTATGCCTGAATGTCTTTCTATTGACAATTTAATGTCTTAATCATTAGTTACTTTATTGTTTTGTTAAAATTATTTTTAGTGAGTTTAGAGAGAAAGGAGAGGGAGAGATAGAAACATGGATGAGAGAGCAGAAACATCAATCTGCTGCTTCATGCTAGCTTCCTACAGGGGATGAAGCCGTGACCTGAACATGTCTGTCTGGGAGGGAATCAAACCTTCGACTCTGGCACATGGGTTGATGCTCAACCACTGAACCACACAAACTTAAAAATAATGTTTTGCTTGTCTAGTTGAGATATGTGCTGGAGGCAGCCAATCAATGTTTCTCTCTCACATCAATGTTTCTCTCCCTCTCTACCTATCTCCCTTCTCTCTCAAATCAATAAGAACATTATTTTTAAAAAGATGAAAGAAACAGCTAGAGGATGGTTAATTTGTTCAAGGACAAGGGGCAAGAGAATGGGACAGAAACAATACAGAATTCACCAAATCTCATCAGAAAGTTGATACAGATTCAAAAAGTTAAGGGAACTTGAAGTTGTATAAATACAAATAAAACTTCACTGGGCACACCAAACTCAAACCACTGAAAACTAAAGATGAAGAGGTAATATTAAAAGTAGTCAGGAGGGAGAAAAAAAAGAACACGTACACATTACTTTCAGGAGAACAATTAAGAATAATAGCTAACTTCTCAAATAGAAACTATGAAATCCTAAAGTAACTGAATGGTATCTTAGTACTGAAAGAAAAAATTGTCAACCTAGAATTTGTTGCCTAGTAAAAATATCCTTTAAATCAACCAAAGGACTTGTATGCATGCATACAAACCTAACCAATGGACACAGACAACAGGGGGGTGAGGGCATGAGTGGGAGAGATTGGTGGTGGAGGGAGAGTAAATGGGGGAATAAAGACACATAATGTTAACACTTTAATCAATAAAGATATTTAAGAAATAATAATTTAAAAAAAAAAAAGCTTCAGCCTTAGCTGGTTTGCTCAGTGGATAGTGTCAGTCTGCAGACTGAAGGGTCCCAGCTTCTATTCCAGGCAAAGGTACATGCCCGGTTGCAGGCTTGATCCCCAGTAGGGTACGTGCAGGAGAAAGTCAATCAATGAGTCTCTGTCATCATTGATATTTCTATCTCTCTCCCCCTCCCCCTTCCTCTCTGAAATAAAAATATATTTTTAAAATTATACCCTATATAATAGAAGGAATATGCAAACTGACTGCCACTCTGCCACAAAGATGGTGGTGCCTACAGCAGAGGTGGTTTCTGTAACACAAGATGGCTGTACCCACAGCAGAGGATGAGTTCCCTAACAAGCCTTAACAGCAATCAGCAAGGACCTTAGGCCAGTGTTTTTCAACCTTTTTGGGGCAAAGGCACACTTGTTTCATGAAAAAAATCACGAGGCACACCACCATTAGAAAAATGTTAAAAAATTAAACTCTGTGCCTATATTGACTATATATAAAGTAATTCTCTTGAATAGGAATCAAATAAACACAAAGAAAGTATTTTATAATTACTTTATTATGAAATATTAAGTAAACAAAATAGTGAAAAATTATAAAATTCTTGTCTTGTCTGCACCTACGGCACACCAGGCAACATCTAGTGTGCCTCGGAACAGCCAGCGGTTGAAAAACGCTGCCTTAGGCTGTGTCCCACTCCCAATGGGGCTTGAAGAGGGACCTCAGGCTGTTCCCCCCGCCCTGGCACCAGGTTGGAAGACATTAGACTCACCTCCCGCCCCTTCCCCCAGCCCAGTAGGGCTTAACTGGGCACCTTGGGCCACATCCCTCATCCATTGGGGCTTGACGGGGTACTTCAAGGCATACCCCCAGCCCGGATTCAGGCTGGGGGACCTCAGACAGCAGCCCTCACCCCAGCAGACCTGAGTCTGTACCAACTCCCTCCACTTGGTGGGGCTTGACAAGGGTGGGACCAGCCAGGTCTGGATCTAGCCCAACTGGGGGGGGGAGGAGAGGACAGAAGCAGCCAGGTCTGGGTCTCATGGTCCCAGACTCTGAAAGGACTAAGATTTTCATATACATTTTACTATTTTTCTTTCATCTCTGACACTTCTATTATAAAGAAAGGGCTAGTTAATATTAAAATATTTCCTCTAATTGATCCCCCTTTAACGTGCATGAATTCACAAATATATGTATTTCAAAAACAAATAAATACAGATTCATACAAACAGATCCTCACACACACCCCAAAGAAAGAGAACCACCAAAGGTTTGGGGTTAGGATCATGCTAAAGAGAAAAAATTCCAGATGGGAGCATTTAAGTACGAAATAATGAAAACACTGGAAAGAGTAAAAACGTAAAAGACTATTAACAGTGTTTTGTAGAAAATTTATAAAAGACTATTAATGCTTTGTGGGGGTTAAAATAATGATGATCCTGCCAAAGTGTTGGACATTTACAGATTTGCAACATTGAGTGTGGAATAAAAGCTAAAGTTAAGAAATGTCTCTTATTAAAGTTTAAAGACAAATGATAAAGAAAAATTTAATCATAATTCAAAATCCTCATTAGAACCCATAATGTCACAGCATTCACTTAAATCTTTTTTTTTTTTTTTTACATCAGAGGCACATAAAAACAATGAATTAATTACAGCATGAATAAATCCAAGTTTCATGGGGCCCAAAATGTCACTCTGTTATTCAACTTTTCACCATTAGGAAAATGATGGAAGAAGACTAAGATAATATCAAAAGTCAATGGACACATAGAAACTAAAAGTAAGTAATAAACTTGGGAGGAAAATTTCTAGAATTTTAAGTGTTTATTTTTTAGTAAGAATATGTAATTTTGAATTTTTCCTATTGCTAAAATAAAAATAGGTTCTCATTTTTAATATGTGGATGTAGGCATCAATTAAGTATACCAAATTAAAGTCTTTCAATTTTCACTTTTAATATTTAAACTATATTTAATATTTAATCTGTGCACTAGTGGCCCAGTGCACAGATTCATGAACATTGTAAGGAAAACAATAAACATTTTAATACTGTATTTGCCCTTTCTCTGTAATGGACGATGGTCACATCAGCAGGGCAATCAGGCCCTACTCACACCGCCTTGGCCTGGCA